TTAACCATATAAAATAGTTTACCATTCTTACAATGAATTCTAAGAGTGGTCACGTGGTTTTTAACTAATAGGAGCCCTATCTTAATAATATAAAATAGTTTATCAGTCTTACAGATAATTCTAAGAGTGGTCACGTGGTTTTTAACTAATAAGTGACTCATCTTAACCATATAATATAGTTTACCAGTCTTACAATTAATTCTAAGAGTGGTCACGTGGTTTTTAACTAATAGGAGCCCCATCTTGAGCATATAAAATAGTTTATCAGTCTTACAGATAATTCTAAGAGTGGTCACGTGGTTTTTAACTAATAAGTGACTCATCTTAACCATATAAAATAGTTTACCAGTCTTACAGATAATTCTAAGAGTGGTCACGCGGTTTTTAACTAATAAGAGCCCCATCCAAACCATATAAAATAATTTATCAGTCTTACAGATAATTATAAGAGTGGTCACGTGGTTTTTAACTAATAAGTGACTCATCTTAACCATATAAAATAGTTTACTAGTCTTACAATTAATTCTAAGAGTGGTCACGTGGTTTTTAGCTAATAGGAGCCCCATCTTAAGCATATAAAACAGTTTATCAGTCTTACAGATAATTCTAAGAGTGGTCACGTGGTTTTTAACTAATAAGTGACTCATCTTAACCATATAAAATAGTTTACTAGTCTTACAATTAATTCGAAGAGTGGTCACGTAGTTTTTAACTAATAGGAGCCCCATCTTAAGCATATAAAATAGTTTATCAGTCTTGCAGATAATTCTAAGAGTGGTCACGTGGTTTTTAACTAATAAGTGACTCATCTTAACCATATAATATAGTTTACCAGTCTTACAATTAATTCTAAGAGTGGTCACGTGGTTTTTAACTAATAGGAGCCCCATCTTAAGCATATAAAATAGTTTATCAGTCTTACAGATAATTCTAAGAGTGGTCACGTGGTTTTTAACTAATAAGTGACTCTTCTTAACCATATAAAATAGTTTACCAGTCTTACAGATAATTCTAAGAGTGGTCACGTGGTTTTTAACTAATAAGAGCCCCATTCAAACCATATAAAATAGTTTATCAGTCTTACAGATAATTCTAAGAGTGGTCACGTATTTTTTAACTAATAAGTGACTCATCTTAACCATATAAAATAGTTTACCAGTCTTACAATTAATTCTAAGAGTGGTCACGGGTTTTTAACTAATAGGAGCCCCGTCTTAAGCATATAAAATAGTTTATCAGTCTTACAGATAATTATAAGAGTGGTCACGTGGTTTTTAACTAATAAGTGACTCATCTTAACTATATAAAATAGTTTTCCAGTCTTACAATTAATTCTAAGGGTGGTCACGGGTTTTTAACTAATAGGAGCCCCGTCTTAAGCATATAAAATAGTTTATCAGTCTTACAGATAATTATAAGAGTGGTCACGTGGTTTTTTAACTAATAAGTGACTCATCTTAACCATATAAAATAGTTTACCAGTCTTACAATTAATTCTAAGATTGGTCACGTGGTTTTTAACTAATAGGAGCCCCATCTTAAGCATATAAAATAGTTTATCAGTCTTACAGATAATTCTAAGAGTGGTCACGTGGTTTTTAACTAATAAGTGACTCATCTTAACCATATAAAATAGTTTGCCAGTCTTACAGATAATTCTAAGAGTGGTCACGTGGTTTTTAACTGATAAGAGCCCCATCCAAACCATATAAAATAGTTTATCAGTCTTACAGATAATTCTAAGAGTGGTCACGTGGTTTTTGGCTAATAAGTGACTCATCTTAACCATAAAAAATAGTTTACCAGTCTTACAATTAATTCTAAGAGTGGTCACGTGGTTTTCAACTAATAAGAGCGCCATCTAAACCATATAAAATAGTTTATCAGTCTTACAGATAAGAAGGGCCACGTGGTTTTTGACTAATAACTGACAAGGGTGGGTATTATAAAACTGCCTTTGACAGTTAACTTGAAGTTAACCTTTTGAATTACATGTAATTCCCGAAGTTAACTTTAAGTTAACTCTCAAAGTAGTTTTATAGTACCCGCCCTAAGAGTGTTCACGTGGTTTTTAACTAATAAGAGCCCCATATAAACCATATAAAATAGTTTACCAGTCTTACAGCTAATTCTAAGAGTAATCACGTGGTTTTTAACTAATAAGAACCCCATATAAACCATATAAAATAGTTTACCAGTCTTACAATCAATTCTATGAGTGGTCACGTGGTTTTTAACTAATAAGAGCCCCATATAAAATAGTTTACCGGTCTTACAATAATTATCCTTCTAGTTCGTATATTATTCTATGGAACCATTCGCATCTGCTGCGCCATTCTTCAACATACCCAAGATAAATGAACCAGTAATTTCGATCTCTCAGTCGGGTCAATGTCCTATTTTCCCCCACTGTGCAGTAACACGGTCCATCATTGTTCTGATCTGATCTGATATACACGGCTTTTCCCATGTGGGCTTATTCATTTACGATTGATTAACTCATCCTGCAGGCATTTCCAATCATATGATAATTGGAACCAGTATTTCTTCACCGTTTCACCAAACAGTCCACGTCCAAAGTATTCCACGTCTCCCAAGTGAGTCGTCGCAAAACTAACTCCATCGGCCTTTCAGAAGTGGCGGGTGCATTGCATAATCCAAACGGCTTGACGTTAAATTTACATAAGCCATTTCCAGTCGCAAATGCAGTCCTTCCCTTCACTTTTTCTCTTGAGGTCAACCTGCCAATGTTTACTTCTCAAGTCGACTTGGAAACTACTTGGATCGTGCGCCTGATTTTTGAAACGAAAAAGCAGAGAGGAGAACAAGTGCCATATCATTCTCAGGTCCATCCATTTGTTCTTTTTTTTTTAAATTCATTTGCTATATGTAGAAGCGGCTTGAAACCGACGTTAACACATGGTCCGGGATGTTTCACCATCGAAAGATGGTGGTTTGAGCTGCCCGCGTACTAGAGAACTCACAGACATATCTCATTTGCTGCTCTATTCATCTGGGAGACGACCGCGTTTGGCCTACCCTGATCGAGTTATGTGACACTATTATCAATATATCGTATGATGTGCATCTATCAATCGTTATTCCTGCCTAAGAACAAATGCTGCCACAAATATCGTTTAACGAATCATCAACAGATTGAAAAAAAAAACGTAACAGTACCCCCATGATATTTTTGATAAAAAAAAATACATGTTCGCGTAGGGGGCAATGCGGAGTATCGGAATATGCGTTCCAGCCTCGTCCAACACTACTGCCGCGTAACACTGGCAGGAGTGCGCAAAGGGGATGTTTGTCGTCGACGAACTACCCTCATTGAGTTTTGCCTTAAATAGGGTATCAGATTGAAGATCCTGCCTTATAAGAACTTGCCGGAAAAAAGTGGCAGGGCAGGTCATTGGGGCACGCCCGCGTGGTCTCATCTTTGGCGGTTCAAATACTATATTTTCTACTGCTATGGCTCTTCAAGAGTGCCTTTCCTTTTATCTTTTCACCTTCGCCACGGTGTCAAAAATACTTTTTGAGTTCCGTGAATTTTTCTCTTGTCGACGTACCGCGTCGTGGCGTGGTTGGGCGTTGGCTTGCTTCAAAGGCGCCTAACGGTGCCGGTTCTTGGGCGTCGGGTTCGAGACGGCGCATCCTCCAAATGTCACAGCCTCTCTGTGACGGGGGTGTAGGGTGGATAGATGAAGTGAAACTCGCTCAGTTTTATATAAAAAGCGTGTATATTTGCTATGGAATCATTACGTTATGAATCCTCCAGGATGCTTGCTCTTCCGTGGGAAGGGCCACACGTTTGATGTTACTTGGGAAGGAATGTCTGTTTAATGCTAATGTTACGTTGATTGCTGATCGTCGTTTAACTGGGGGGCTTTATTTGAAATTGATGCAACTTTGCGCATACGCAAATAATGACATTTGCGATTGAAAATTGGTGCACGGCTTATTTGAAATGCACTGCGAGCGATATGACTTTGCACCAATCGCAACTTTTGTGCATGGGGGTATACCGATCGCAAGTCCAACTTACGCACACGCAAGTTATGTTGTCAATTTGTCAATTTATTTTACTTTTGATATTTCACTCAAATAAGTTCGAATATTGTGGTGATTTTCATAAATCTGAATTTAATAACATTATCAACAATAATGTGCTGGCTCGTCTTGAACTAGCGAAGGCTTTTTTAACGGAAACCTTACAGTAAGGCCGCGATTTCATGCCTTTGCCTGCCCGAGTGACCGGGCTTTCGTCAAAAAAAAACCGGCCGAATAAAACTACTTTTGAAGACTTATATGATGCTGTAGAGGGCTATTTGGTGGCGCCAAGAAAAGCATCTGCCACCGGGCACCGTATTTATTACCGCCGAGTCTTCATGCCACATTTTTTTAATTGACCTTTTGTAAAAATCGCAAAAACACGACGCTTTTCCAAATAAAACAAAATAGCTTTCGGTTTCAGTACGATTTTATTGTTCGACTATTCGAGCAAGACTACCCGTCCCTTTGCCTTTTTACATCCAAAATCCAACCGAAAACCCCAAAGTTTCTTTACCAAAATTGCCTGTCATAAAAGCCCACTAAAAAGGTTTAGGTTTTTTATATGATGCTGTAGAGGGCTATTTGGTGGCGCCAAGAAAAGCATCTGCCACCGGGCACCGTATTTATTACCGCCGAGTCTTCATGCCACATTTTTTTAATTGACCTTTTGTAAAAATCGCAAAAACACGACGCTTTTCCAAATAAAACAAAATAGCTTTCGGTTTCAGTACGACTTTATTGTTCGACTATTCGAGCAAGACTACCCGTCCCTTTCCCTTTTTACATCCAAAATCCAACCGAAAACCCCAAAGTTTCTTTACCAAAATTGCCTGCCATAAAAGCCCACTAAAATGGTTTAGGTTTTACAGCCTAAAAAGTATGGGAACCAAATATTATTTCTACATAGGAATTTTGGGGCTGGTACTAATAAAACATTATGCCGCCTAGCATAATTGCTTTACATTCGGCCATCCTGCATCGTGGTTGACCCCAACCACTTTGGAAAAAGGAGGGATTAAGTATATGACTAAATTAATTATATCTAACAAACAATTAAGGTTTCCACAATATTTCAAAAAAATAATTGACTTCAAGGGCTACAACCCATTCAATTCCAGTGGGAGTTACTGCTCCCCAAACTGACTTAGTATACTAGGGCTACAACCCATTTCCACACGGGGAGCGACAACTTCTTCAAGCCATCAGGAAGCTCCAACTCCCGAGACTATCTGTTCGACAAGGGCTACAACCCCTTTCCAATCAGTGAGCTACAACTCACCTGATCCACGGCAGCTACAACTCCCGAAACTGTCTATTTACTAGGGCTACAACCCCTTTCAAATCAGTTAGCTACAACTCGTCGGATCCACGGCAGCTACAACTCCCGAAACTGTCTATTTACTAGGGCTACAACCCCTTTCACGTCAGTGAGCTACAACTCGTCAGATTCACGGCAGCTACAACTCCCGAAACTGTCCTCACTTTCCTTTATTCGTCATTTTGAATGGTTACCCAGGGCTTCATTCTGTCGGGGGCCACAACCGATTTTTTCATGTGTTGGCGACCTTCCCTAAGATCTCCCATTTCATAACGGTCATTTAACAATACGTTTAGTATTTTAAATGGACCCTTGAACTTCGCATTAAGCTTCTTGCTGCTACCTGTGTTTGGGTCACTGGTAATTAGCACCAAAACTAATACACCTTTATTGTACTTTTTTGCGTCCTTCCTCTTCTTATCAAACCTTTCTTTTTGGAGTTTTTAGTTTTCGGAAATATGCTTTTCGACTTGAGCCCTTAAAAGTGTGATATCCAACCTGTCAAGCTCTGTTTGAACGGAATCCAGAAGTTTAGCCTCAACCATAGATTTTGGCAAATACCCAAACAATACTTGGGCCGGAGTCGTATTGATACCCTGATTATACGCTGTGTTTATGGCACTTTGAATGTTTTTTACACAACCGTCCCAACACTCGCTTTTGTCCTCTGATGTAGTAGTGGCCAGCATGTTTATTATTGTTCTGTTGTACCTTTCGCATTGTCCGTTCGCTCTAGGACAAGCGACTGCATTTAGGACATGTTTTATTGCGTAGGTTTCGCAAAACAATTTAAAAGTATTAGAGGTAAAGGCAGATCCTCGGTCAGTTATGATACGACTAGGGGCCCCAAATAAACACATTATATTTTCCAGTATCCTTACCACTGTCTTGGTTTTTGTATTTTTCACTGGTTCGATAATGGTGAATTTACTAAATCCGTCCACGATTACTAGTATGTATTTATTTCCTTTTGAGCTAGTCTCGAAAGGTCCGACATGGTCTATGTGTATAGTATGGAAAGGTACTGCAATTTTCTCAATCGGGTGTAGTTTACCTCTGTTTTTGTGAGTAGTATTTTTATAATAAGAACAATTCAAACAGGCACCAACGTATTTAGTTACAAATCGTCGCATCTTTGGGAACCAATAATTCATTTTAATTCGGCGAATTGTTTGCTCTATTCCACCGTGTCCATTTTTATCATGGCATAAAATACAGATTTGCCATCTAGCCGCCTTCGGAACCACCCACAATGGTTTACCATCTGGAAGCTTTCGGTAGACTTTTCCGCGTTTCAACTCGTATTCTTCAAAATACTTTTTGCAAGCAATATCGGCTTTATTCTGTCGTAAAATCTCATGAATTCTCGATACTTGTTCATCCTGGAGCTGTGCTGCTACAATCCAATCGCCCTCAGTTAGGTCAATATTGTTCAGTTCAACAATATTGACATGATACCTGCTAAGAGCATCTACGTGAGGCATACGGGCACCGGGTCGATATTTAATTTCAAATGTGTACTCCTGTACTCCTAGCCACCATCTGGCGACTCTGGGTATTAAATCTTTTTTGGAAAATGTGGTACGTAAGGCATTACAATCCGTAACCACGGTAAATTGGATCCCCAGGAGATATGTCCGAAAATGCGCCAGCGCTGAAACTACTGCTAGCGTTTCCAATTCATACGAATGATACTGTTTCTGATCTATTGTAGTCTGTCGACTATAATAAGCGACGGGATGGGTTTCGTTTCCTTTTATTTGGAGAAGTATAGCTCCAAAACCTAGTGAGCTAGCGTTAGTGTGCAACTCTGTCATCAGATTAGGGTCAAATATAGTCAAGATTGGTCTAGATATTAACATATTTTTTAAGGTCGTAAATGCGTTTTGTTGCTCGTCATGCCATTGCCAAGGTACATCTTTTCGTGTCAACCGTGATATAGGTTCTGAAATTCTGGCAAAATCTTTACAAAATCTCCGAAAATACCCAGCTAAACCCAAAAACTGGCGAACTTGTTTAATGGTCGTCGGATGTTCCATTCTGGAGACAGCGTTGAATTTATCCTGACCTGGACGAACTCCATCCGCTGATATCTCTCTACCAAGGTAGACGATATTGGTTTGAAAAAAGGAACACTTGTTAAGCTTAAGGGTAAGCTGGTGCTTTCTTAAGGCTTCTAGTACTAAGCGCAAGTTTTCCAGCCCCTGCTTTACGGTCTCTGATGGGATTATGATGTCGTCAATGTATGGAAATGCGATTTTATTTTTTAAGCTGCCCAATACGTTGTTCATTAGGAGTTGGAAGACGGCTGGCGAATTAGTCAACCCAAATGGCATTCGCAGAAACTCATAATGCGAATCCGGGGTCACAAAAGCTGTTTTTGCTATAGAATTCTCATTCATTGGAACCTGATAAAAACCCGACGCCAAATCTAAGGCCGTAAAATATTTATTGCCTGCTAATTTATCGATTTGTTCTTCAATTAAGGGCAAAGGGTACTTATCTTTTATAGTAACGGCATTGAGTCTACGAAAGTCTATGCACATACGCATGTCACCTGTCTTTTTCTTTATTAATAGGACCGGGCTAGCGTACGGCGATTGGGATTCCCTAATAATGTTATTCTGCAATAATTCGTCTATCATTTTTCCCAAAATAGCTTTTTCTGACAGAGACATGCGATAAGGATTGTAAACAATAGGCTCGTCCGTGATGCACTTTATTTACATTTTGGCAGCACTAGTTTTTCCTAAAGTTGCCATCGACGTCGCAATTCTGTCTCGAAATTCCATTAATAATTCATAACACTTCTTTTTTTCATATTTTGGTAAATTATCAAGTTCATTGAGAATAACTGTTTTTATATTTAGTCTAGAATCGTCATATACTTCAAAACATGTGAGTTCTTCTGACATTTTTATGTGATTTATTCCTCTGATAACAAAACCTTTATCATTTTTGTAAAAAAGTACTTGTAGTAAATTCAAAAAATCGCAGCCGATTATACAGTCATGCATCATTTGCTCGTCATCGAGTACTATTACTTCCAATTCAGCACAAGCGTTGTCCATTCGTATCCTAACTGCCACAGTGCCCTCACTCACTACCAAATTTCCAGAAAAACCTCGCAATACCAGTTTTCCAATATCATTATTTTCGATTCGAAGTCCCAATTTCTCAATAACACTTCGTTTTAGCAACGTGCGGGTGCTGCTAGTGTCTACCAAGCATTTGAACTTAATTCCATTCAGATTAACAGGCATTATGTATGGATTTGGCTCTCCAGTTTTATCTACTGCGTGTACGCTGTTTTTAAAACTATTCTTTGTCGATTTCAAAGGACATTGATTTTGCTTGTGGCCTAATTTTTTGCAGTGAAAGCATTCTAATTTAGGTTTAGGGCAGTTTTTGAAGTAGTGCTGCCCTTGACAATTAAAGCAAATTACGCCTTTTGAAACTTTGTTATTGCTATTAACGGAATTTTTCGCATCCGCTGCAGATGTACTGGGCTGATAAACGAATTGCTTTCTTTCTAATCTAGTGAAATTTTGGGGTAAGTTGTTTAGGGTACTCAGATAAGCATACAGTTCGTTAGTATCACTAAATTTAGACGACCTGGCTGCGCGAACTACATCTTCATTATTGATACCTGTTATAATTGCATCCACCAAATAATCTTGTGGAATATCGATCTTCAGTGCTTTTAATTTATCCAGTTTATTGAAACAGTACTCACTCAGATTTTGTCCTGGTAGTGCCTGGTAGTTTGCTGCTTCCCGCAGTAAATTGCCAAACGGCAGTGGCCTTTTAAATTGCTTTATTAAAAGTTCCTTCATTTTTCCCCACTTCGGGTTGAAGTGATCCTGGGTGTCGTAACATCTACGAGCCAATCCCTGTAGCCTGCTAATGACTAATTTTCCAACCGTTATACTACTCCACCCATAGCATTCTGCCAGTTCGCCCACTCTAGCTACCCACTTTTCTACACACTTTTCCTTATCCTGCGGGTCGAATACAGGTATGAGGTTTTCATCGATTGCACTTTTCACGTTTGACGCGTATTGTTCAAAGCGCTCTAGTCTTTTTAATTTTTGTCGCGCACTTTCCTCTTCGGAGGTAGAACGATCGCGTCTTCTTTGTCTTTTACTACGCTTTTCGGGTGTTCGGGGCGAACGCGATCCACTGGAGGACGATGGCGATAATTCACTTCGCCTTTTTCCGCTTACGCGACGGCTCTTTTCTTTGACGCTCACTCTACGATTTCCCGTTCTAGATCCAGATCTAGATCGCGGCATAATTGACTCAGATTCGGTATCAGAATAATAACGCTAACTTCTCGACCAGCGCGGCGGCGGCGATAGGTAATTCCACTTCTGATTTGTAAAAATCGCAAAAACACGACGCTTTTCAAATTAGTAATAAAGAAACACGGAACATATTTGAAAAATGTCTCAAAACATCAAAAAAATCATAATAAATAAATGTCATCGTAAAATATACGTCACCGGCAGCCAAAATATCGTAAAATTCAAAAATCCACTCATTTCTATATGGTAGATTTTCAACATTTTGTGAAAAAAAAACTGGCAACGCAGCAAGCGAGTGCATCTTTTGCGTGTACGCAAGTAGAGATGCACACGTCCAATGTCAATTTCAAATAAAGCTATTCGCACATAACAAGTTGCGTATACGAACAAGTTGATTGCAAATTTGCGTGCACGCAGATATTTGCGATCGATTTCAAATAAAGCCCCCCAGATCCACATCTAGAGGGGCTTTCCGAAGTTGGCGGTACTTGCACTAGATGACGATAAAGTTTCCCAGAGGGGCTTTCGCAGGGTGGCGGTACTCGCACTGGGGAGACTTGATTCAACTTGGTTCAAGTCTGTCTGTTGCTCGGCTTGGCCCATTATTTACATGAATTTATTGCTGAATTGCAAGAAACATGCGATCGAATCGGCAATTAAATTAATAAGGTCGAATACCGGGTCCTCCTTTCCGAAGTAGCTAGTTGACAATATGAAACAAAACGGAATGACAAAAAAAAATCGAGCTTATGGAATTAGGAAGAAATTCAAAAAAACAAAGACGCGCCCACAGATGTAAGGAGAACCAATTACAACAAAATAGGAAGGAAGGTACGAGTAGCACTGGGAATTCGAAAAAATAGAGGATTGTTTTAGAGGGCATGAACCCGTACCATTCATACGTACAGAAAGAAAAAAATAATTCGGCGGAGTGTTTTGAAACAGCACCCACCAGGAGTGATTTAGTCGATGTGAATGGTCGCAATAGGTGAAAGATATTTGATGTTCACAGAAACTCTGGTGCATCAAAACTGAGCACGGTGCACTTTGACAGTCTTTTTCAGTCGTACATTCTATAGAATTTACGACACTATACTCACTGATTGGCCATAATCAACTGGTATCGCTATTCCTAATTATTTAATCAACGCACCAAAAATGACTGACTTGTACAATGGGCGTATATAACAAAATATCTATCTCTATCAGCAAACTCTGGATTCGGATTTCGGAACGGCTTAGGACAACGTATTGATCCGAGTATTGACCAAAGTAGGTACCTACCAAGATGATTTTGCTGCAACTCCTCCGGAGTAGTTTTCCAAATGCTGCAACTCCTCCGGTGTATTTTTCCCAATAACTTTTATTTGCATTTGATAGTCATAGAAAAAGTAAAACTCCAATACACATGAAGAATTAAAAAAGTATACACTCGTGAACCGTTCTACTCGTGTAGAAGTTTGCTTATTTCGCACTTGTTATATCATACTATTTCCAAATCTGATTATAGATTTTGCTAAGATAACAAAACAACATGAAATATCAACTATATCTACCCGCAGCTAATTTGAAATATTTGTTTTTGGAGAAAAAAAAAATAGTTATTCATATTGATCAATATGCTACCGAGAAATTAGGTATACAATGTATTTAATGAGAGCTATACTGTACAGGGTGGGCCAATTTGGACACTTTCTTATGGAAACACCCTTTATTTTTAGAGATAGAAAAAAATGAACCCCCCACTCTGAGGCTCAAATTTCATGAAATTTTGATTGGTGCAAACCGCATTTTGATATCTGCAACCGTTTAGCCGCTGGAGGGCGATTCTCGATTTTGAGCAATACTGTGAAACCTTCATAACTTTTTTATTTATGAAAATAATTCATTTCTGTAAAGACTTTCTGGAAGCACTTTTTTAAGTGGAGTTCAGTGACGTTCACAGCTTTTTTCTATTTGGCTCCGAATCCGAGATATTGACCAAAATCCGACTTTTTTCAATAGGACATCCTATATATTAATAGCTCATTGAAAAGCTTTGCTTTTGCTGATTTCAATTATATAAAATTCGATAGGTTTATCTCCAACGGTTTCCGAGAATTATTTTGATTTTTGTCATAAGACACAATGTGTTGGAAAAGGACTTTATATCTGTAAGGAAAACAAGAAAGGTCTCTTTCTAACACATTGTTTCTTATGACAAAAACAGAAATAATTTTTTTTCTCAAAAACTGTTAGGGATAAACCTATTGAACTTTATATCATTGAAATCAGCAAAAGCAGAGCTTTCCAATAAGCTATTAATATATAGGGTGTTCTATTGAAAAAAATCGGATTTTGGTCAATATCTCGAAATCCGAGTCAATTAGAAAAAAACTGAGAACGTCACTGAATTCCTCTTAAAAAAGTGCTCTTAGAAAGTCTTTAGGGAAATCAATTATTTTCATAAACAAAAAAGTTATGAAGGTTTCACAGTATTGCTCAAAATCGAGAATCGCCCTCTAGCGGCTAAACGGTTAAAGATATCAAAATGCGGTTTGCACCAATCAAAATTTCATAAAATTTGAGCCTCAGAGTGGGGGGTTCATTTTTTTCTATCTCTAAAAATAAAGGGTGTTTCCATAAGAAAGTGTCCAATTTGGACCACCCTGTACACAGATCTAAGGCAGCAAGAAACACCTAATCAGGAGGCGGTAAATGTTGCAAATCCGTCTAATTATTATTAATTACGCTTCTTTTCAATGTTTTATCAGAACCTAAGGGAGGTTTTATTGTCATTTAGGATCCGCTTGTATTAATCTGATAATTAAATCTTCATAAATGTTCTTCACATGCAAATTAACCTTTTAGGTCGAACTCAACTTAAATGTTATGAGAATCAGTTCAAAATAAAATCGAGAATTCATAGTGTTTATAGTCTTCACTTTCTTTCGAATAAGCAAGATGGTGTAATGAAACAAAATAATCGTTGAACGTAACAGGTTTTGCAACCCATTAGCCCAATTTTTATAGCTATTTTTGTATGTAAGTATAGATATTATAAATAACTAGTTTGGAGGTAATTGTTGTTGATCTGGTTTTAAGGAGCTTTGAAAGGCATCACTGTAGCGAATTTTTGTTTAATAACTTGAATGCAAGGCGTTTAGGAGGTTGAGCGTCCGACACGAACTACTTATACAGGGGTGTTACAAATAAGATAAGTTATATGGGGATTTTGGAAATGGCAATGTTAAAATAATATTTCATTTCGTAAAATGTTTTTTTTTCCTTCTTTGTATACCATAAATTTGGCTTGCTTACTATTATTCCTATTTTTCAAGTTAAAGCTTTGCGAACAAGATGAATTTCTTGAAAAAGGTGAAGCAACAAACTCGTAGAATTAAGTTTGTGTCTTCCAAGAAGAAAGGAAATAGTCGGAGTTTTATTTTCTTCTTGAATCAAACTTGTTGCTGTAGTAGGAGACTACAAGTTTTTCTCTTTCAAAACTATATCTACCTCTATTCGTATGATAATTGACTTGAGGGCAGTGAATGTCCCAGTTTCGCCTGCAACCGGTATTAAAGACGTCAGAGACCTATTACAGCTTCCCAACACATACTTATTCTGAAAATTCTATTATATTCGAATAAATAAATTCTAGAAGCATCCCTAATACAATATCTCCTATAAATATCGCGTAGAGAGTCAGTTGCTGTAGTAAGGAGGCTCAAATAGGAAATAGGAAATTTGTTCTGTTAGTCAATTTGTGATTTCTTCAATAAAAGTTGTTATTGTTTGTAAAGGGAGTTTCATTGGACCCGAAATCCATGAAAGTATATTATTTGGTTTTATACAGTTTATGTGTGTCTATAATATTTTAATGCGGATGTATAATAAAATATCATTGGAAATAATAGAATGAAACTGCTTTCCTCTTCCCTAAAATATTGCCGTTGAAGGCAAATTAAGTTTTACCTACGTTTCAATTTTAATTAAACATCCGTAAAAGAGCAGCTGTTATATATGCAACTGTAATAATTATTATAATTCATACATTCTATATCTTTTATGTAATTATAAAGTTCTCTCGACTCATTACACAGAAGGACTTATAATTGAATATTGAAACATAATAACCAACAAAAAAAACACAGTTACTTATAAATGAAATATCTCGTACTGACTTTCGTTCCGTAAGCCTCGATCTAAGCCAAAGAATCAAGTTAGTTATATTAGATAAGTACAGCAATGCTTTTCACTTGAACACAAGGGAGATAACCATGACCAAGATAATATACAGGGTGGCCCATCGAAAACAGTCCAGCAAGGTTTAATGCTTTGTGCGTAAAAATTAAAAAAAAAACCTCTGACCCGTGAATTTTTGTTTTCAGGGAAACAGGTTTCACTATTAATT